TTTCATCTCCTTAATGAAGTATTGGGTTCTAACAATGCGTAAACCAAAAATCGAACACTGTATCAAGCAGGTATATTCTGATTGGAAGCAGGTCAGTAACGGTAAATATTTATATTTGTCAAGTTAAAAAGTAAAATTCGAGAGCTCCGTTAAAAAAATATAACAACTACTTGACAGGTAGAGGATCAGAAAGATCGCGAGCATATGTTAAAATATGGAAAAATCGGTCGACATCTGACCATGTGTAGTGTTATTTTCATGTACAGTGGTGGCATAATTTATCACACGATCATGCAGTATGCTATGGGATCATACGTTGACGAATATAATCGAACGATAAAATTGCTGGTTTATCCTACGTATAGTGGCTTTTATGACGTTCAAAGAACACCCGTCTATGAATTAATATATATTCTTCAATGCATGTGCGGATTTGTGTTTGATACCGTGACAACTGGTGCTTGTGGACTGGCTGCACTTTTTGCAACGCATGCCTGTGGACAGATAGATGTAATTATATCTCGATTGAATGATTTGGTTGACGGAAAATTTTCGAAGGGAAATTCTAATTCATACATACGGCTGACAAAAATTATCAAACACCATATAAGGATTTTAAGGTACAAACACTATGGAAATATATATCATTCTTTACAGTTTATGGACACGTATCCGGTACTATTATAGATTTTCTGAGATGGTTGGGACAGTTCTGCAGGAAGTGTGCTTCTTAGAATTCATTGGTACCACTTTCGTAATATGCTTGCTTGAATACTATTGCTTGACAGTACGTTTTCATTACTTTCTATTCGTGTATACATGAATTTTATGTTAACTTGATTTTTTTGTAATAGGATTGGGAACAAAATAATATCATTGGTTTGTCAACGTACACGTTACTATTAATATCCTTGACGTTTAACATGTTCTTACTGTGCTACATTGGGAATCTTTTAATAGAAAAGGTATTTTGCAATATTAATAGTGCATTTTCATTCGTGATATTCTCTTTTTGTTATTTATTATTTATATTATAGAGTACTCTCGTTGGAGAATTTTGTTACATGACCGATTGGTACAATTTACCAACTCAGACGACGAAGGGACTCATTTTGATTATCGCCATGTCACATAACCCGGTGAAAATTAGCGCGGGCAGTGTAATTGATTTGTCATTGCCTTCTTTTGTAAATGTGGGTTTTTAACGATATTTCAAGCACATTACACGTAATCACGATAACGTAAATCCCAATTTCATCTTTTAACAATTGAACGTAACCTTATTTTTACAGGTTTTGAAGACATCGTTGGCATATTTAAATTTCCTTCGAGCTATGGTTGTATAATAATGCAGTAATAGTTTTATCTTTTTCGTGAATTTTTTATAATTATTAACAAATAAACAGATCATCAAGAACTTTGCGATTAGATCTCTTACCTATTTTCGATACGAAGCATTTTTTGATATGCAGAAGAATCCTACGTATAAATTGAAGTGTGTTTCCTAGAATACGTTGGTATCACTTTCCTAAACTGCTTACTTGAATGCTATTGGTGTATAATAGTATCTGTTGCATAACAAGATTGTGGGATGGCGAGCGGTGGACACTAACAATGGATGAAGGGTAATAGCGGGCCGAATGAGTGTGTGGAGCAGTTAGTAGGAAAAGAAATAAAATTTTGGGGAATAGGGTCGGAGAACAATAAAACGTTAGGCCAGTTTAGTACACAAGTAGAAATAGATGATAACAGTTACCCAATTAAAATTAATTTAGTCCCAAACTCATTAATGCGTTACGACTTAATAATAAGAACAGATTTTTTGAACACGGTCGAAATACATATTAAAAAAGTCGAAATTTCGTTCGGCAAGATCCAAGACTACCAGATACAAGAGCACACACCCGAAGTTTATACAATTGATCGCATAGACGACGCGGAGGAAACCGAACCATCAAACATACCAACACCAAAGGCAGCGGCGAGGAATAAAAGTATTGTTGAAATAACATCTAAAGTAACAGTAAAGAAAATAGAAGATTCTGATTGTTCCGTCGTGGAACAAGGAAGACCCGTTACGGTCTTCTTACAGCCAGGTCTTAGGATCAAACAATTCGGCATCGGAATTTTCCTCTCCATGCCTTCAACACGTTTGAATGCTTTACCTTTTTTCTTTGACTTCTCGTGTCGCGGAACACGAGAATCCTGGAAATCCCTAATTTAACGAAATTAGGCGACGGTTCTTAACACTTGGCTGACAATAGGCCTGAGGGCTCCACGTGGTCCGCACACGTTGGTAACCTCAGGCCCTCCCTAGGGGTCATAAACGACCGATGGGGTCACCAGCACGCGGGTGGACCCCACGTACCTCACCTTGGAGGAGAGGGTTTCCTCCACTATCGTCTACTTTTTTGAGAACCTTCCCTTCCTCCGATTCGCGAACCAAGGGAACGCCCTTGGTCAAATCAACCAATTATATTTGGCGAGCTCCCGATTTTTCCTAAGGCCGATCTTAGGAAGATCGAGGAGCTCATTTCCTTGCGAACCAACAGAGACATCGGTTCTCTTCAATCAGTTCCAGTCAAGTCATCAGAGACACCAGTTCTCTTAGAACCAACAATACGCCAGTTCGCTTCGAATCGTCGAAGACACGACTTCTTTTTGCTCGTGCAACAGAAACAGTTGTCCAAGATTAATTTGGCCCGTCCGAATCCATCACAGAATTCAATCGCGACGCAGCAAAATACTGATGATTCCGACAAAGATGATAATGATTGTATAGAAACAGCGAAAAATACAGAAATTGAAAATATCAAAGAAAACACTACATCTAATAAGGTAGAAACTAAAGATAAATTTGAAACATCAAAGCGGATTCCAACTGGACAAAACAAATTAGAGGAACAAGAGAAATTGGGATCAAGTTCTTTAACAAAATTGTTTCAAAATACTGATAAACAGGAAGACAAATTAAAGGAAGGGTCACAAGCCTCTATGCAAGAGGAGGTAGATGACTCAACTAAAGAAATTAATAGTGGTACAAGTGTGTCAGAAACAAAGAGTGTCAGTAACAAAGTGAAAGAGTCACCGTCAATTTTGAATGATTCCCTATGTCAGTCAGATTCTGATATTGCAAATGTGTCGTCTGATAACGAAGAGCCAGTCAAGACACCAACACCTATACTTAAAAAGACGTCTAAACTCGAAGAAAGGAAACAGGCAACAATTTTCTGAAAACCTCGAAAAATCATCCCGAATCGCGGCACAGTCTCTACTTCGCACGATTTTCGAGAATATGACAAATCAGAAAATATCACAAAAATTCAGAGTGAAAACCATCGTGGCTATAACCACATATCGTGGCGTAGGAAAATGGTACGACGATACGAGAAAAGCGATTTGGTGGTAATAAAGAAAATCGAATACGGCCCAGGTCTAAAATTTTCACCGAAATACCTAGGCCCATATCGGATTAACCGTTTGAGTCCCAGAGGGTTTTGGAAAAACACTGTGGAGGAATCCCAAGCAGAGCAACCGCGCTGCCTCTAAGTGGGTACGAGAAGACCCAAGTAGCGCGATAGCCATAGTAAACAAGGTCGGTCGCGCGCCGAGCCATTTAGCTGTTCAGCCGTGTGCCCAAATTTGCGCAAAATGTATACTTCTTATGACATGTATATTTCGACGCAACGAAGTACTACGACTTCGACACCTGCGTATTGTTAATGGCGCAAATTCCTCACCACGAGTCAGACTCGTGGTTTTTGCTTATGTCACAAATTTTTTACCACGAGTCTCACTCGTGGTTGTAGGTCAAAGGGTTAACAGTGATAGCGCGGGGCGAATGAGTGTGCGGGGTGCATGGAAGCGTTGGGCGGCTTCTTGAAAAAGCGAGGCGGCATCGGGTTCAACACGAAAGAACAAACGATAGCGGCAAATCCTTTTGTCGGAATGTATATCGAATAATCGAGAAGGAAAGAATGCGTATGGAGGGTGATAGGTTTGATTACAAGTAAGGATGCAAGGACGCGAGGCGGTCATATTAGAAGAGAGTTGTTGAGATTAGAAGATTGTGTGCAATCGAAATGAAGAGAATAGAGGATCGTGTGTTTGAGAGTTAGAATTGAGAGGAACTTAGTACAACATGTTAATTAAATAAACCAGTTTTATTATTGAAAGGGAGTTGTTGTTCATTAGACGCGCAGATCTCGGTCTGCATAGGATTAATCTAGCTAGAAATACTGCGATATGTAATTTTTTTCTTTGAGTTTATGGTATTTTTGCTTATAGTTGGACTAACAATCGAATAATATTACTTACTATTCTAGCATCCTATGTAGCATTATTAGTATGGTTGTCGTTTAATACGTTTTTATTGGGTTCTACTGGGCACCTCTTACTAGAAAAGGTACATTTTATCATATCTTTTCCAAATATTTTAACAAAATATTTCTGTGTATGAAAATCTATTAATAAATTCGCCTGTTATTGATTTATTACAGAGCAGCAACGTTGAAATATTATGTTGCACGATCGAACAGTATAACTTACCGATGACGGACGATTCTTAATTTTGTCATATCAAATAGTCCGGTGAAGATAAGTGCTGGTAAAATAGTTGAGTTGTCCCTGTCTACTTTTGGAAATGTAAGTTTCTATATTACGCTGATTCATATGGAAAAAATGCTATTATAATGTCATCTGTCAACAATTAAACAGAATCCTAATTTCTGCAGGATATGAAGATATTATTCGCGTATTTCAATCATATTCGAATCGTCATTATGTGATGACGTAGTAGTTGCCCTTTTATTTTCGATAGTTGGATAAAATATAGCAGATAAATGAGTACATTAAAAAAATATTTTCCTCTACTTAAATATTCGACAAACGAAAATATTATTACACATTGTATAATGTATAAAATATCTTTTTTCTTGTTTGCCCATTGCAGATGATATTTTAATAACTACATGTACATTGTATACCAAATATATATGTAACTTAACGAGACAGTCACGAAAAGCAACTTATATGATGATTGTTTTCTTTTACAAGAAATTACATCGAAGTCGAATGGGAAGGATGATACTTTTGATTATTCATGATTAACACACAAATCAGCGCATGCACTTCACACAGTCAATAAGCTCGAGAAGGTATTATACTGCCACTTACACTTGCACTTGCTTTAGCCACTCCTGCGTAGAACACGTAGGTGTCACCCATTGTATCTCGAATGAGTGCTTAAAAATCCGTCTTTGTTATAATTAAATGACAGTAATTATTAGGTATATAAATGAATTTCGAGCAATCACATTGTCATAGCACGACTTTATAAAGGAAAACAAAATTAGTTTTTCTGATAAACGATTTAAATATTATTAATTCATACATACCTATATGTAAGGTAGAAGTCTTTACCGACGAATGCCTTGGTCCTTACGCTCTTCAATTTCGACTCGTTGTGTACATACCTAAGGCAAAGTTAAGCTCTGTAACATATGGCATCACCGGTAATTCTCATCACAATTGTAGCTGTCCCCACTTCTCATGAATACTAATCGATTTGACTACACTCAAATGATTGCACGCACACGATGACACTAACATAGGCTCAACATGCTTGCAATCAATGCTGCTACTCTGTAGTAAACAGTCGTTTACGTACCTTCTGCCGACATGCAACTTTCTCCTCTATATGAGACTGATCACCCGCGAAATCCGAATTACGAAAAAGACATCGTTTACGTAATGAAATATACCAAATGGATTTTAAATCCAATTGGGATTTGGCCAGCGGTGTTAAAGGGTGTAGGTAAATTTTTACCTACAATCGCGATAGGATTCAACAATTTAGCGTTATTGTTCATCGTGATTCAGTGTGTGTTACATATTACTTTGGAGCAGAAAGATCCATTGCTGAGACTGAAGTTCTTAGGCTTGACCTGCTTTATTTCTATATCATTGATGAAATACTACGCTCTGACGAAGCAGAAATCGAACATCGAATATTGTATTAAACAAGTGCAAAGCGATTGGAAACAGGTCAGTCGGAGCACATACTTAAACATGTCCAGTTAAAAGATAAAATTAAAAAGCTCATTCGAAAAAAATTTAACAATTATCTGACAGGTAGAATTACAAAAAGACCGAAAACTGATGCTAAAATACGGAAAGATTAGTCGATGTCTGACAATGTGTAGTGTTGTATTAATATACAGCGGAGGTCTGATGTACATCTCAATTTTGCAGTATACGATTGGGTCTTATGTCGATGAAAATAATCGCACAATCAAGTTGCTAGCCTACCCCACGTACAACGATCTTTATGACGTTCGAAGGAGTCCTATATACGAAATTACATATGCTTTCCAATGCGTTTGTGGATATGTATTCGACACTATAGCAGCAGGCTCCTGTGGATTGGCTGCGCTTTTCATAACTCACGCCTGCGGACAAATTGATATCATTATTTCACGACTCAATGATTTGGTTGTTGGAAAATTTTCAAAACACGATTCTAACGCAAACGTACGAATGACAGAAATTGTTAAACATCACATAAGAATTTTAAGGTATACGAATAAAGATAAAAAATCGCTACTTATTGGATATGAAAATGTATCGTGTACTATTGCAGATTTTCTCAAATGGTTGGGACAATTTTGCAAGAAGTCTGCTTCTTAGAATTCGTTGGTTCCACTTTCGTAATATGCTTACTCGAATATTTTTGCATAGCAGTACGTTTTTATTATTTCCTATCTGGTTTTTTCGAGTTTATGTCGTTTCTGTTTGCAGTAGGACTGGAAACAGAAGAATAGTATTGGTGTGATATCATATCTGGTGTTATTAACGTCGTTGATGTTTAATCTGTTCATATTGTGCTACACTGGAAATCTCTTACTGGATAAGGTATTTTTTATCATATTTCCTTTCCTTTCCTTTCCTTTCCTTTCCTTTGCGAAACAAAATATATATGTGCGTGAATGTATGAAAACCTATTAATATTACAGAGCAGCAACATCGGAGTATTGTGCTTCATGATCGAGTGGTACAGTTTGCCAACTAAGACAATTCAGAGTCTCGTCTTAGTCATTGCCATGTCAAATAGTCCGCTGAAAATTACTGCTGGTAGAATAGTTGATATGTCCTTGCTTACTTTCGGGAACGTGAGTCTTTAATATCTTATAACTGCAACTTACAAGGAGAGTGCAAGTCCTTCGGGTCACTGATTTAATTGAAACTTTGCAGGTTTGTAGATATCGTGATGCAGTTTAAGAAAATATATCATTATTGCGGCAACTACTCGATATTGGAAATATTGGAAATAAATGCATAATTACAGAAGTAATAAAACTTTAATCGTAAATATTTCAAAAACTATCGAGTAGTTGCCGCAATAATGATACATTTTCTTAAACTGCATCACGATATCTACAAACCTGCAAAGTTTCAACTAAATCAGTGACCCGAAGGACTTGCACTCTCCTTGTTAGATAGAAATAATGCAATTCGATTTTCAGCTGCCAACGATGAAACACGATTTTGACTTTTACAGATTATGAAAACATCATTTGCGTACTTAAATTTTATCCAAACTACTATCATGTAATACTAACTGGTCTGGGTATCTTTGATAATTAGTTTGTAGCAAGTAAATAAAAAACTATATTATCAAACTATTTCTTCTTTCGTAAACATTCGACATACCAGACTATTGTTACATATTGAGTATATGTCTCATTCTTATATTTTTCTTTATAACTAAGTAACAGTGATTAGCAGTGTAAACAGATGAATTTCAAATTGTAGGGGGTGGAAGAATCTAAGTACTTAGGTCTTCGTAGATACCCCACTCCCAATATTCCGTCTGCAAGGGAGAGGTTGGCTAAGTGCGATGGTGTCTTCTTTTGTTCTTCTTTTCTTGATGATGATGAGCAGTTGTTCCTGTGCTGCTGGCCTGGTGGTATCCCCGTGGTCGTCGTGCTATCGATAGGGTAGCAGGTAGAAGGACGACGGGAAAGGGAAGGGATGAGTTTCGTCCCGGGCCTGCTAGCGGACTCATCGGTAAGGCTTGTTTCTAATAGATCCTGCCTTAGACATTGGGATACTTAGATGTCACAGGAACTTCTATTTAAGGGAAGTCGAGGTTTCACCGTGGACTTGTGAGAAAGTCCTCGTATCTCCTTCAAGTAGGAATCCACTTATTGATGAGGGTGAGAAAAAAAATTATAATTGTAGGATTGTTCGCCGGTAATCCCTTTGCGGAGAGACATCTGCCGATTTGACCAGAAACGATATCTTTTGATAACAGAAACAGCTTTATTTGAACTAAACTACAGCTTCGTCTTCCTTACAATTCTGATTACAATTCTCTAGAACTCTATTATGATCGCGCGCGCTCTGCGCACTCTATATATTCTCACTAAACTCTCTACACTCTGAATCTTTATCTATTCTTTATGTACTGCTTCGCCCACACCCTTGCATCCTTGTTTAAACCAAACTGTTGCGACGGCAATAATAGGTGGAAAACGCACCTAGCCGTTCCTCTTCAGAATCGACAAATTATAAATGAAGACAAGGACTAGGGACAGTAATACTTGAGACCAGACCCAACAGACGGGGCGCACGTGCGACTGACCCACCAAAACGCTAAACAGACTTCTCTATAAATTTAAAACGAAACAATACCAAAAAGAGAAACTTCCCTGTCAGCTTCTCTCTCCTAATCCAGGATCCCGCCAAAACTCCTTGTCCAATCAAAAAATTCTATTTTTCCTCCTCCTACAATCACTTTCCATCAATCATCGCAAACCAAGACTAGACAAGACGAGACGACAGTCAAAAGCCAAGAAGGTAGAATCAGACGGTAGTGAGTAGTCAAAGACATAAGACGGAAACGAGAACTCATACACGAAACATCAAAACGGTTGGAGAAGTCAAAACACATGAAACGAGAAGACAGAAAGCGGAAGACGAAACAAGACGTAAAACGGCAAAGGCGGAGACAATACGCCACACACAAAAATCATACAACTCATCAAAACTTGTAATAAAGTGTAAATACACCACAAACTGCGCTTTATTACACCACCAAAGTGCTCAGTGTCTCGTAAGTGACGCGACACACTGAGAAGAGGGTAGCAACATTATCAAAGCTACCTCAACAGCGTGGAGATTCTCTCTTTTTTCATACGCGGTTTTTCTTCCTCGATCACTCATCTCTCAAAAATTAGATTCGAGTATTCGAAGTTTATCAATGTTCGTAATTATAATTATTCGTGCTTCTGAATAATTATAATTGGTCACCGAAATTGAAAAATAAACTCTCGAACGTACTTTCTGCGCAATATTCTTGTATTTTTACAAGAAGTTCTTTATCTGTCGCAAATTTGCTACACAGTGTCGTATTCTGGGGGCTTTTCTAAAGAGAAGATCATGGAATAGAATTGTTGAAATTCAGGTTTCGGCAAAATGTGACATATAGAGAAAACGATTGAATTGCTCGATTTCTGTGATTAATCTATGAAACTTTTATAACTGTATCATAAAGGTGCACTCTTGAAGAATGTTCTAATATAATTTTAGAAACATATTTCTTTGTTAATTAATTAATTATTGGTCATTATTAGGCAAAGTGTTTGAACTGTTACCTTAAATAATTACTATCTTTAATGCTATTAATCTGCGAAATACATGATTGGGTCTCATGTCAATGAAAATAATCGTACGATCAAGTTGCTGGCCTACCTCACGTCCAACGGTCTTTATATATACTCATTTACATCTTTGTTGCGAATCATTCTTTTGAGTGCGAGACATCGAAGAAAAGAATTATGTGGTGATTATTTGGTAATCACACTGGTTGAATACAGTTTGACGACGACTTTAAGCACTCGTACCTGCAGTCAGATTAAGATACAAGCATTGATATTGAAAAATTTGAGGAATGAAGAATAAAGAGCAGAAATGGTATCGAAGATATGATTAAATAACCATAGTCATGAAGAATTACGCCGGAATTTTGAGGTGAGATGCTTAATAATATAATCATAATGAGAACACAGATCACAGGAAAACTCAATATCGTTGCGAGGAGTTAATTAGCAAGAATGTAACTAAGAATAAATTTATAAATGATGTCAGATATATATATACTTACAATGGAATTTGAAATCTGTAAGTTACAATAGAACGCAAACGTATATTTTACGTCCTACTGAACGATCTCTCCGTACTGTCTCCACTCGATCTCCCCTTACACGCACCATAATCTCTCCGACGAATATAAAACGTGCAAAAAAAAACAGTGAGATTCCTCACTGTTTATTGACGAATGCCACCCTCTTACATTATTACTACGCGAAGCACGCGCGTGAAGTTCATCGTGAACTTTAATTGAAAGGAAAAGGCGCGCGCTTGCGTTCTAACAATATCGTGTTCAAATTCATACCGTGTCGATCAGTCGACAGTGTACCATAGAGTCGTCAGTATGCATGATCGATCATACGATACCATTGTCGGCCAACCGAGAAATCACCATTACGAAAACGATATACATTATACTTTACAGATGTGTCAATGGCTGTTGAAGGGGATCGGAGTGTGGCCTCTAGTTTATAGACAGACTAGCAAATTGGAACAGCTCATTTCGCTCTTTCTGATGACCACGTGCTTGTCCAGCCTGTTCTTCGTTATCATACCATCCGGTCACCATATCTTTTTTGTGGAGAGAAACGTACACATTAAAGTAAAGATGCTTGGTCCCGTTGGTTTCTGTTTGTCGTCTACGATTAAATACTTGTACCTTGGTCTGAAAGGACCTTCCCTCAGACATTGTATACGACATCTCGAAAGAGACTGGAAGATGGTAGAAGATCCGCGTTATCGAACGATCATGTTAAAGTACGCAACCATCAGCA